AAAACAATAGGCAAAAATCTCTTGGACATAAACATGAACGACTTCTTCATGAACTTATCTTCCTGGGCAAGGGAAACAAAAGCAAAAATGAACAAGTGGAATGATATCAAGCTGAAAAGCTTCTTTACAGCAAAGGCACCATCAATAGAACAAAAAGGTACCCTACAGTATGGGAGAATATATTCATAAATGACAAATCCGATAAAGGCTTGACATCCAAAATATATAGCTCACATACCTCAACAAATAAAAAGCAAATAATCCAATTAAAAAATGGGCAGAGGAACTGAACACAGTTCTCCAAAGAAGAAATTCAGATGGCCAGCAGACACATGAAAAAATGCTCTGCATCGCTAGTTATCAGAGAAATGCAAATTAAAACCATAATGAGATATCACCTCATACCAGTAAGGATGGCTACCATCCAAAAGACAAAAACAAATGTTGGTGAGGTTGTGGAGAAAGTGGAACCCTCGTACACTGCTGGTGGGAATGTAAATTAGCTCAACCATTGTGGAAAGCAGTATGGAGGTTCTTCAATAAGCTCAAAATAGAAATACCATTTGACCCAGGAATTCCACTTTTAGGAATTTACCCTAAGAATGCAGCAGCCCAGTTTGAAAAAGACAGATGCACCCCTATGTTTATCGCAACACTATTTACAATAGCCAAGAAATGGAAGCAACCTAAGTGTCCATCAGTAGATGAATGGATAAAGAAGATGTGGTGCATATACACAATGGAATATTATTCAGCCATAAGAAGAAAACAAATCCTACCATTTGCAACAACAAGGATGGAGCTAGAGGGTATTATGCTCAGTGAAATAAGCCAGGCGGAGAAAGACAAATGCCAAATGATTTCACTCATATGTAGAGTCAAACAAAGAAAAACTGAAGGAACAAAACAGCAGCAAAATCATAGAACCCAAGAATGGACTAACAGTTACCAAAGGGAAAGGGACTGGGGAGAATGGGAGGGAAGAGAGGGATAAGGGTGGGAAAAAGAAAGGGGGTATTACGATTAGCATGTATAATGTGGGGGGGGTGCATGGGGAGGGCTGTGCAACACAGAGAAGACAAGTAGTGATTCTACAACATCTTACTATGCTGATGGACAGTGACTGATGGGGTTTGTGGGGGAGGACTTGGTAAAGGGGGGACCCTAGTTAACATAATGTTCTTCATGTAATTGTAGATTAATGATAACAAAAGAAAAAAGAAAAAAAAGACACTGTTACGGTGCTCTCAAAAACCATGTGTTTCCCTAGACAAGTTAAATATCCATCCATCATCTTTTTCAGATTATTACTTCCTGTAGCTAGCCCTTCCCCCATAACTAATGTTTTTCCTCTAAGAGGTCAGATTTTAACCAACTCTAGGTTAATATGGTTTCTGACTCAAAAAATATGAATATACCAATATTTAATGTTTCCATCTTGCCAACAAGATGTCTTAAAATTTAAACTTTAACAAAAACGTAATATAGTGTTTATGTTTATATATTTACTGATAATGTGAGAATCTGAGAGTGATTGTATCATAACATATACTTCCTCTATGAACTTTTTGTAAGCTTAAAGTATTTCTACTGAAGAAATACATTATTTTTTAAATTTGTTTTTCACTTAATTTTCAGAGTTTAAAATGTTGTATTAACCTGAGGCAATCTTGTACCAATCTGAGAATGCCAAGTTATAAAAATTCTTTTAAATACTTGGGAAAAATAAAAAAGAAAGAAATCCTTTCATTTGCAGCAACATGGATGGTCCTAGAGGGTATTATGCTAAGTGAAACAAGCCAGGTAGAGAAAAACAAATACCATGAGATTTCACTTATTTGTGGAATATAAAAACAAAACAAAACAAAATGAACAAAATAGCAGTAGATTCATAGACACTGAGAAGTGACAGGTGGTTACCATGGGGGAGGGTTTGGGGTGGGAGTGGGAAGGGTAAGGGGGATGAAGGGGCACAAAAATTCTCAATCATAATATATGTTGGTCACAGGGTATGTGGTATATAGCATGTATATGTACAAGGTAGTACAGCATGGAGAATATAGCCAATGATTCTTTAACATCTTCCTATGTTGACAGATAGTAACTATACTAGTTGGGGTGAGTAGGATTTAGTAAAATGGGTAACTGCTGAACCATTGTGTTGTATGTTTGAAACCAATATAAGATTGTATATCAAGTATACCTCAATACAAATTTAAAAATAAATAACTAAATAATTGGGAAAACAAATCTTTAAGGCTTGACATACAATGTTCTTTATTTACAGCATCTCATTCTACCACATTCTACTTCTTAAACCAACCATATCCATAAAGATGCCAATATCATGCTAATCAGAGGCACTAAAGCAATCTATATCATTATTAAAATGTCATGCTGTGGCCTGCCAACCTAATCAATTTCCATTTCAATTCCCAATAACATATCACTTTCAAAGTATTGATTTAATCAAAATAAATTTGAGTATTCTCACTTCAAAGCTTGGCACTTTTGTCTGTCAAATGAATGGTATGTTAGCAAGGAATTATGGTACTTGATGAGACAGGGATTTTGTTATGCTATTTGACCCAGTAAATACATTTTTAGAAATCTATTCACTACTATAGTAATTATCTGAAAAGGAGAAAAGACAACACAAAGAAGATGTTCAGCACAGTATTATTTATAATCACAAGTATGCCAGAAAGACTAAGAGGGCTAGAATGGAGAGAAAAATCTTTAAGAGCCAGAATAAAAGTAAAAAATGTCCATGACACAAGATGTAGGAAAAAAAACCAACAAACTGAATTGTTTCAACAATCTAAAATGCCTGTCAAAAAGTGGAAAGTCATATATATTACAAAATAATCAGTATATCACTGAAGGTTGGCAGTGTAGAAACTTTAGTTTATATTTTTGGTATTTAAATTACTTCTGTATCTATGCATTACTTACATAATCAGAAAAAGTTATTAAAAAGATGCAAGACTAACCATTTAAAAAATTGTATCTAAACGTGTTCTACTTTATGGGACTTCCATTTTAAATTATAAGAGTTGGCACTATGTAATTTCAAACAATATCAAGCTTATTCTGCAACCTCTCTACTAGTAATATCACTGCAACTACTCCATTTTTTTTCTTAATATTATATACCAATTCTTGTGCTTTGAAATAGTGTTACAAATTTTGCTTACTTAACCACAATATTTCCTAAACACCGAGCCTTCAGTTTTTGCATGTTGTCATCCAATATCATAACTGCAAAGTAAAATATAAATAAATAAATAAAATGCATAACCTCGAAGCTTTAATGTTTCCACATATTCTATGTTCAACCCCCACAAACACATCTCACAAAAAATATGAAGAGCACCTGCTTTTGATTCCTGACAAGATCATGAATTTTCATTCAGAATCTCCCTTAAGTAAAGATATCATATTTTAAACATGCTGATCATTTCATAACCTATGTTTATATCCATTTAAACACATTCTTGTATTTTATAAAAAACAAAAATATGTTTGGCTTTTCAAAAGTTAAAGGAACATAGTTTTAACATACACTAAAAAAAGACTTCAAATAATAAAATTAAAGTATTTAAAAGCTTTGTCAAATCACTATGTTGTACACCTGAAACCACTATAATATTGCATATCAACTATATTTCAGTATATATATATATATATTTCAATATAAAATTACTGACAGCACAGTTCAAAATCCACTTGAGCCATAAAGGTCAATTTAACCTCCCAAATATTATTCCAATGCTTTCTGTGTTATACTGCTAAAATCCTGGAAGATTTTAGATGATCACAGCTTGTATCCATGTTCAGTAACCGTTCATGCAAACTCTAAGTAAGGATATATAGCCATGTTTTAAGCTTTATAGATCCATTATGTGACTTCATCCATCCAGGTTATTCTACTGAAAGAAGCAATAAGTAAAGAAGAATATTGTCCCCAGAAAAAAGTTAATTGTTTCCATGTGTTTCCAGGACACTTTATTTAAATTTCTACTCTCACAATTACTTGTGATGTAGGTATCTGTCTCTTACTGGACTGGGAATTCATTAAGAGTGGAGGTAATTCATCATTGTTTCCCCAAATGCCAGTGGTCAATTTACTATATGCTCCTAAACTGGTTCTATTAGTCCTTCCTTCAGTTTCTCTACCTAAAAAGTGGGTGTAAGTTGGTACACAGTGTTCATGGAGTTGGTACAAGCATAACCTAAAAAATAAATAAATAAATAAAGTGGCAAGCTTTCATAAGGTACTCAAGGAATGTGAAATTGTTACATTACCCTGAATGGTTTTCACACAAAAATGGTCTCCTTTCCTTTTCCAAAAGGACACTGGTTTTTTATTAAAATGTTGAACATTACATTATGCTTTTGAATCTCTGAATAACCACAAAAACATAAAAATCATGAGTCATAGTCACTCCTTCCGTGGTTATAATACCTTAGCTCTAAAGTTTAACCTCTGCTATCTGTAAGCCAAGGCTTTCAGACAGTAAGAAAACTTCTGTACAGAAATTCCATGAGGCATCAAAGATTAACTCTTTCTTACAACTGGATATAAAAACAGTGCTGAAATACTGAAAGGGAAATGTGTTTAACATCTCCCACAATCATCAGCTCCTAAAAATGGCTCAACACAAAAGCAATTTTTTTTCTGATAAAAGGAGTACAGATGACAGAACTGTTAAAAAGGAGGATTTAACTTAAACTGGGATTGCACTTAAACTGGGCTCACCTTCCCATGCCTGGAGAAGTCACTGACTTCACAGAATATCTATTCCTGCCTTTCAAAAACCTTAAGTGTCTTTTTGTAAATATATCTGGCAGGCAAAGGCAAATGAACCATGTTTCCCTAACTGGTCATTGTCCTAGAAGGAAAATACAGTATTTTTATATTAAAAAAGCAAAAGACAGAGTTTTAAATTTTATAATTTACATGCAAATAGTAATCCAATGCAGGAATCATATTCTGCCCCTGAAGCTAGGTTTTCCTCAAAAATCTATGAAGCTAGATTGTGTGACCTTACACAAATAACATAACATTATTATTATTATATGCCTCATTTTCCTTGTCTGAAAATCAATGTGTAAGCCTAAATTGAGTCAGTTCACCGGGCTCCTCTGAGACTTAGGTTGTTCTTTCTACTGGCAGGTATTTGTGGTGACTTTATTGTGTGACATCACAACACAGCAACCCTATGAAGCCTATAAATTATTCCCATTTAGAAAGAAGGAAAATGAATGTCTGAAAATTAGGTGACCCATACAAATTATAAAGCACAAGGACATTACTGAACTATTATAATCGATATAAAAAAGATATTGTATCTCATTGTTACATACCCCTAACACAGATGCAATGATTTTTCTCCAGAATTCTCACCTTTTATGTTTATTTTTAGCCAACAAGGTTCAAAAACCTTACCATCATTCCTAAATTAAAAGGTAGCTTATATAATGGGAAAAAAACCCTGCAACTTTTGTAACAAGCAAGCAAACAAAACAACCCACAATGGTTTGCCTTTTGTTCAAAACCTAACCAGCTGTGTTACCTTAGGAAAGGGATTTAGTCTCTCCAGCCACCAGTTAATTCACCTCTAAAATGGCAATAATATCTCTGAATCAAATACACCTCAGCATTAAATGAAACGATGCCTTATAAATAATATTATTTTCTTGGTTATCGCAAACATTTAGAACATGTCCATGGAAGTCTACAATCTTACTTTTGATGAGATTGGCTAATAACAAAAATTCAGGCATTCATTTTTGATAGAAGGTAGTTATTCAATCAAATACTTACTAAGAACTCAGTATACTTCATGCCATACAATTCACATTAGACACAGAAAAATGCCATATTTATTAGCATTACATTTACAGATACATCAAATAGTCACAGCCATTTCTCACCATTGTATCCTGGAACACTTTTTCCTGCTTGTCCTGGAGGAGGTGTTTTAGAATTACCTAATCCCATGCACGATGCTGTAATTGGGGATCCAGTCTCTGGAGAATAAAAAATATATTATTTATCATTTAATGTTTCAGCCAGAGAGCATGACGCTTCTTTAGTGCATGCACTGCCCCTCTTCCCCCAGTTTGTCCCATGAGGACTAGAATACTGCAAATGTGTTACTTAAATGAAAAGAAGTCCAGTCATTTATGCCATATCTATACTTTAACAACTAAAGTACAGATACACATATTTAGAATAATATATACAGTAGTGCTACTTTTAAAGAAAAGAAAGTCTTCTCTAGTGTTCTCAGTTGTAGATTAGCAGGCATGAAGAATGGAAAATTGTATGACTTCGAGGGTTTTACAACATGTTAAAATCTAAATGATCTCTAGAAAAGGTGCTTTCTCTTGACTGACCTGAAGTTATTTATGATGGCAACTAACATCTATGTGCAAAACATTTCCTCTATTTATAGATTAGTCTCTGGTGTAAGTAACCCAAAGATTTTTTTAAATATGTGAATAGTGTTACACTCTAATACTTAAAGAACACACTTGTCTAGACCTTGTATCTGAAACTGAATTTACCAAGGCTTTATCAAATTGCTGTCATCTGTTGTTCTGGACTTCCGGAAGGCCCAAAACAGTAAGACATTTGCATTGATTATTTCATCAAGAACAGATACTTATCCACAATTAGCCTGCATTGATTAACAAAAATCTTTGGTTTGTTTTCTGTCTCAGGTTGTAACAGTCAGCAGCTTTATTATATGCAGCTATTACATGATAACCATACATTCTGGAAATGATTATTTTTCATGGAGAAAGGCATTTGTTATTATTGGTAAATACAAGCTTAAAGATAACAGAATCTTTTAAATATGAGATTTGTATCAGGATAGGGCACGGATAGTGAAAAGTTTTAAAACTACTGGCTTAATTTTATACATACAAACATACACCCAAGGGGTAATCCAAAATACTACAAGTATCTATATTCCTCAGGACGCAGAATGTATCCCTTCCAATGTGGTCTCTGCCAGAATTTATCATACATTTCTATCACCTTAGAATGACAGGAATAATTTACTACTGTTGTTTACTTTCCAGAGTGGTTCAGTTTATTATTCACATTTTATGACTGGTGGCTCAGCTGACATCAGTAACAGAAGACGGACTCTTGAACATTCACACACAGTTCCTAAGTCACAGTCCAGTGCTTCACGTGCTGAGCCATCTGGTCACTGCTGAGGAGGACCAGCATTGCTGCTGTTCAACAAAGAATTCTCACATGTGGTCAAATCATGATGGGAATCGGGCCAGTATTTTACAAAATGGCATTCCATCAGTCATGCAATATCACTTTCTACTCTCCCGAGTGCACAACCAAAGCATGGGGGCACATCCACATGTTTGAAAGGGGTAACAGCATTTTTCTCTTTGATTTTTTTTTAATACATTACCTTATTTTATTCAAATAAGTCTGATCACACATGGTCTAAGAACACTCAAATATAAACCAAATATAAACAGATGTTAAAGACCGGTCTTCAACCATTATAGCTGATGATGCCATGCTTGCCTATGATCTTAGCAACGTAAAACCATGTACACACCCCAGTGGCCGCCAAATATTTCAGCAGAGCTTCCTTAATTGTGAGCCATTTGAAGCTACCAGTTTAAGCACTCTTCAGTATTTTTTTCAAGCTCTGAAGATCTGTAGGGATCTCAGGAGTGGGTAGAGGAATCAGCTCAACCTTGGGAGTACTAAATTGTGGCCAATCGAGGCTTGGACTAAGTCACAGTGGGGTTTACCAGCATCAGGGCCTTCTCCGTGTGGTTACTAAGTGGCCCATGGTTTCAGGATAGAAAGTCCATTACCCTGAATGGTGGTCCAAATGTCCCCTTTGCTTTTTAAAGATTGTTTAAATACTTGCTTCACATTCTTGAAAACCGAGGGGAGAGAGAGGAGTGGAGATGACAGGAAACATCCCTGGGTAGTGAGGTACTTTAGGAAGGTACCAAACAAGGCGAGAACTGGGACAGAAGCGGCTAGGACACAGTTGGAAAGGAGCCATACCCTGCAGGATGCCTCTGTTCCCCCTCTGGCCCTGCTGGGAAGCAGCAGCTAAAGTGGACCTGCTATTTTATGGTGTATCTTATCAAGGGGACCCCAATCATCTAAAGTTCAAACTCTACATTTTTTAACATTGACTTTACTCTGATATTCATTTAGGGATTAGAAAAAGAACTAAAGAACTGCTGATAGTGACAGGCAAAGGGTACAATCACACAAAATGACAGTTTCTAGGACTTTCTAAGCATAATATGGAGACATAGGACACCAGTGGTTTGGTACAGAAACTTTGGTTTTCTCTCTTTATGCCTTTGGCCATCCTGAGAGCCAAGAACGATCCCCCTACACCATGAGCACGTGTATATGTGCCCAGGCCTGCAGGCACGGAGACTGTGCCAACTATGCCATGGGCACATGCACGTGTGCCCAGGCCTGCAGGCACAGAGACTGTGCCAGCTGTGCCACGGGTGGAATGGGCTTCCGGCGTGGAGAAGCCCCCAGGCATACGGCAGTCCTTAACCAAACTTCTAAGGACTCCCCAGGCCCCATTTGAAAGATTTCTATAAGCACATCTGCTTTACACTGCCCAGACTATAATTAACTGGCTAGCAGTTATCTAGGGAGACAGGAAATCCAGATGTCACATGGAGACTGGGAAATAGCTGCATTAAACAAACCAGAACATTATCTTTAAAGAAGAGAATTGGATGTTTCATTTGGAGAAATCTTTCCAAGATACTTAACCTTAGAAGCACATGATGCTTAGCAATTCATTAGCATCATTTCTATAGATAAGAGACAGCCAGGAATAAGATGGCAGGGAATTGAAGGCTGTAAAGAAATAGTTACATTAGTACATTTATATTCATACTGCATCAGAAACTAATATGGACACTTGACTTTTTTTTTTAGTATCTTTACTGCCTCACTCCATCTTATTGCATTAGTGAGTTGTTACCTAAATGAATTCCCTCAAAACTTGTAACTCTAATACAAGAAAAGGAAAGAGAATATACATATTTTAGTATGAATTATGCTATGCACCATTATAAATACTTTTTGTTTACATGACTGCATTTAATCCATTCACAAGCCGGTATGGAAAAAAGAGAATATTCTTTTTATGAATAAAGAATACTGAGGCCTAACCTAGAAATTTTAAACATTTGCTCTGGTTTCACATAGTTCTTTTAGAGAAGGAGAAGAATGGAGTAGATAAGTGAGGTTCTCGTGCAGAATAGAGAGGATTAGAAGAGAAGAGAAATTGCCCAGACTGTGTCTCAAAGGAAGAAAAGCCCTCGTGGCAGGGAGTGAACTCAGTCTTTCATATTTGTAAATGGAAGTGACGGTGGTACATATCACTCTTTAGTAAATATGTGTTGAGCAGCTATCATGTGTAGGTGCTATCATTAGAACTAGGGATAGAGCAATAAACAAAAGTGACTAAAATTCCTATACTTGCGGAGCTTGCATTCCAGCTGGAGAGATGAACAACAAAAAGCATACAAAGTAAAATACATGGCATGTTAAAGAGTGAAAAGCACTAAGAAAGTAAAGAAAGCATAAACCGGATTTGTGATGTGATGGGGAGGGACTGCAGCTATAGACTGAGTGTCCAGGTAAGACCTCCCTGAGAAGGTGACATTTGAGTAAAGACCTGGAAGAAGTGAGCATATTTGTATATGTGTGGGGACAAAGAATCTAGGAGGAAGGGGCCACAAGGGCAGAGGTCCTGAGGTAGGCTTGTTTCTGGCATGTCTGAGAAACAATACGGCAGCCAGTGTGCCTGAAGCAGAATGAATTAGTGAAGTGTTATTAGAAAATAAGCTCAGAGAATTAGGGAGGAGAGACAGATCACAGAAATTGCTTTTGAGTCCAAGACCTTAAGCATTTAGCTGGAGTGATATGCAAACCAGTGGGGGCTTTTGAACAAAGAAGTTAATTAATCACAATGCAAATAAAATTTACTTAAATGTTTGCACATCATTCAGGTTCTATAACCAGGTGTATTTTATGTAGGGTTTTGGGAGAGATGAGTGGGAAGGAAGAAATGCATGGACAGACAGAGCTTCATGAGAAGAGCTGGCTAAAGATTCCTGTGGCTTCCTGAACATCAGAAACATGAGAATTCACTAGACCCAGTTGGGTGGTACAGGGGAGACAGGCTGCCCACACAAACCAGTCACTTTTGTTATATAGTGTTTGTATGTATATAAATCAGTATGACATTTCTGAAAGGAACTTCAGCAATTATAAAATCTATTAAAATCATGCATACCCTTTCACCCAGGTGTTCTACTATAAGGAATACATACAAGGAGATATTTGTAGGGGTTCAAAGGTATTAAGCATCAAGGACATTTATCACAATATTATTTATATTAGACTTTAGAATAGTGTCCCCAAATAAGGGTTATCCCACAGTAAGCCATTCAAACACCATAGAAAAATGTCTATAGGAAATAATTCTCACAAAATATTTACAAATTAGAAAATTTGTAAAACAGGATGCACAGTATGGTTTTTTTTGGTAAATAATTCACATTGAACAAAATATGTAGTAAAATATTAACAGAAGCTATTTCTGCACCATGAGCAGAGGGGAAATTATGTTAAATAGTCCAAAGGCTACATCCACAACTTTGAAATTTGCCCATGGTGGGGATTAAAGGTGGCTGCCGTTTGATATTCCTCCTACTAACAGGTGGGACCCAACTTCTGTTTGAATTTAGGACACTTTTTAATGGCTTTGGCTAATAGAAAAGAGTGGAAATGATGCTCTGTTTCCAGGCACGGGCCTTATGAATTTTAATCCACTGGCTCTAGAACCTCTGCGCTGCCATGTAAGGTGGCCGTCTACTCTGAATCCTCCAAGATAAAAATGCCTCTTGCAGCCATTCCAGTCAATGGTCCTGGCTGAATCCAGTCTCCCGGCCATTCCCAGATGTGGGAGTGAAGTCATCTTGGACCC